CATATTTGCTGGCGCATTCGGATTCGGTATCGGGTTCGACACTGCCCTGGATTCTTTCTATGACCGTTGGAACAAGGGTGTACGTCCTCGCTCTTTCATTCTTCTCCTTCACGTGTACTCAACTCGACGTAGAAACAATGGAAGGATATTCGTCATAAATACGTTGAAGCTGAAGAGTAGATTCTTCCCTGTTCCTCGAAATTAAAACCAACCACCGCGTTATTTTAACTGGGAATTGAACTTGAGAGAGAAATGGAATCCCTTGACGAATGGGAAGCTGCTTATTGGTGGGAGCGGGAGAAACCGGGTCCCTTCTTGTCCGTCAACACTGTCACGCACTTGGTTCGATGTCTGTGTTTCATGTTTCTCTTCACGACCAATGATACTCTTCTGGATTATCTCGCGTCGTTTGGCAGTGTCCTTGTCCGTGAACAAAAATTTCCTTGGTCCATTTTTTTCGTCTCTCTTTCAGTTATTCACTGTCTTGGTCGACAAGCCCTTCGGAGACAAGCAATCTGACCGCTATTTGGGATGCTTCATATGCATATCCAGCAGTTGGTGGAACTACTGGGTGTGCATCTACTTAACGTAACTGGACATGTTCAGATAGGCCAGCGGCATACACGTTATTCAAGCATAACTGACGCATTGTATCTCGTCTCTAAAAAAGCGCGATTCAACAGCTCCCTTATCGCCTTCAAGTCTATGCATGGTCAAGTTATATGGGAGGAAAACATGCGACGAGGTTTGGTATGTATACTTGGACAATAAACAATTTGGCGAGGACAAACGGACTTGATGTATGACTGTGAGTCCTGATTTATCTATACTACGAAGCAACGCTACTCATCTCAAATTTCCCTAGGACTGCCTACAATACTGCAGAACATGACTATTTTCGGCACAGTACCACGAAATTCCCAACGTTGTGCGATCGTCGATGATATCTATACACCAATAGTCAAGGCGCTGACGAAAGCCAAGACAGTCTGGAAAAAGGTTGCAGGATAAAAGGGTGTTGGTGTCAGACTTGGTCTTTCTTCTTTACGCCTCAACATCAACAATCATTCAGACACTCGCCCTCTACCCCTCAGTACCGGTAGTAGACCTTTTCCTTCGGTTTCTTTCACCCAACCCCGATGAGTTCAGCGAGCATGCAACCGATTTCGCAACCGGGTTCTCACAGGCCCTCTCGTACGCCTCACAATGGCAAGGAAGTATCCGGCTATCATACCCGGCAAGGGGTTTTGAGAGACAGTATGGCTCGAGCGATGCTGCGTTTAGAGCGACGACCCAACGAGGGTCCCTATCTTGTCGCTACTGGCGTGCCACCGCAGCTCTTTGACGAGTGGTCAACATACGACTCATGCGTATGGTTCCTATGTTCCCTTTGACGTTGTTAACGGATCTCCCTCGTAGCGCCTATCATATGTTCTACGACCATGACTCCCAGTCTGTCTTTTCGTTCCATGATCCATCCCCGCAGCACGAGGCAGCTACAATGCAGTTCTTGGGTGCATTCCAGCAAGGATACATAGATCTATACAACAGCAAGTCCTCCACGCCGATTATTTCGACGCGAGATCACCTATACATGGGAGGGTCATCCTGTTTGCCTCTCCGCAACGGATCTACGAAAGAGCCTGATGCGAGAGTCTGCATTATCAGATCTGGCGTTGGGAAACCGCGTCTCGCTCGCTGTTTCGTCTTTGAATGCGCGTATATGAACGAAGACGAGGCGACAGTGGTTTCTGAGACCTTGAGATGGGCTGATTCTGACCATTTTTCTGTTGGTTTGAAGATTCAAGATGTGGTTGGTTGGCCGACGTCTTGTAAGTTATGGTCATAATTTGTTCGAACATATACTAACAATTGCCGGCAGCCCGACTGACTTTTTATATTGCCGACAGATGCGGAGCTGTCATTACGCGATACGTTGTTCCCCACGCTGTCGATCCTCGCCCCGCTACGACTCCTTCTGCAGCGACTCTGGAGGAGCTAGAACAGGCGTTTAGGATCGACGATACGCTGCTGGATTGTCCTCAGGCGTTTCAGCACAAATTGAATCAAGTACCAGAGCAGGCTGGCAAACTCGAAAAGTGCTACAAAATGCTTGGGCTGCCGCCGAATTTGTCAAAGAATATCAGCGTTTTCGAGCGGCTCAGGGCGCAACAGGAAGAAGACCGAGAGTACTATTTTGAAGAAAGTGGTGATGAGGCGGATGGTACCTCTCGACCACCACTCTTGGAGCCCGAAGAAGTGAAAGATGGGGTGCTGGTCGATGACTGTTGTATTCCGATATCGATATCAGCCTTGTATGGTGATAATCCTCCGCCATCACCTCTTGCTCCCGACGATCAACTCCTCGTGGATGTATTTTCGATTCGAACGCATGTATCGTATGCTGTTGAAGATTTAGTGATGTATACAGAACAGCTTAGAGAGAGCGTCGAGGCGGTGGAGAAGGGAAGGGAATAGAGCTAGTCTAAAATGCATATAAATTTGTTCTTTAACGAAGCGACTGGTCTGTTCTATTCCTTTAACACAAAGTGAGGATGGGTTGCAAAAGTCTTGTAAGCCTCCCGATCCAACGAGTTTAAGGCTACTCGTTTATCGGTCTCTATAGTTTCTATCAGTGCCTCTGATAAGGAGTGAGCGATCATGAAGAAGAGAGTATGTAAAAAAATCGCACCCATGGTAGTAAAATCCAACTCGGGGCGTATGTATCCGAGGACGACGGCTCTAAGCTCCATGCCGTAAAAGTCGGCGGTGTACTCGTGCATGACGTGGATCTCCTGCAGGACGGTGAGTGCGACGTAACGGAGACAGGATATGACATACAGCAGTGAGACGCTCATTCTTGTAGAACGGATTCCAGCCGAGACTCATCACCATTGGCCAGACCTCGCTTGACGGTGCGTCTGGGACCTGGGCGTAGCCATAGTACACCCCCGGCTGGGCCACTGAGCTGATCGCCTCTATCGCTTCATCGGGGAGGTTCGCTGCGAGGCATCAGTGTCAGAGCCAGGAAAGACCAAGGTAACATTCTTACCTGTGGGGCAGTTCAAATCCTTGCCTCCCCGTCCAAACCCACGCTGCACCGAGCCACTGAGCAGAACAGGAAACGGAGACTCTGGCTGGTCGGGACCGACGACGAGGGGACGACTATCGCGAAAGCTGTCTGTCTGGAAGAGGGCAGTGGGACGGGCAGTCATCAAGTCAGTCAAGTCTATTTTGGGACTTTACTCTTGACCACGATGATCCCAGCACCGGTGCCTGTAAATCCATACTCCGTCTACAATTCCGCCTACCCCGCCTACTATCCTTACACAGCCGCAGCAGCCGCCCCTCAGCTACAGCCAGAGCCGTCCCCGCCGTCTCCCGTCCCGCCCGCCGTATCCCCCGCCGCCGCCTCCGAAGCCACCCAGCGCCTCGTCTCCGCAGAGCTCAAACGCGCAGGCTTCGATGCCGCAGAGCCCGCCGCCGTCGTCCGCCTCGAGCATGAGGTGGTCGCCATCGTTGAGGCCCTCTACCACCGCGCCCACGAGTACGCCAACCTCGCAAATCGCGCCGGGGCTGTCGCTACCGACTTGATGCTCGCATGCAAAGACTACGAGCTCGACATGAAGGGTCTCCGTGCCCAGACTCGGAAGAGAAACACCGCGCCGCTCCCCGCACTGATACCCCCGCCCTCGCGCTCTCCCTCCCCAGAGCTCCTCTCGTCTGACGACGAAGACCCCACGTCTGCTGTCCCGTTCACGCTGCGCAACCTCCCGATTTCGTTCCCGGACCTTCCCCCGAAACACACGTACCACCAGACCCCAGTGTCTCCGCCGAAAAAAGCAGCTTTGCCTTCGCTGGAGAAGAAGCTCAAGACGGCGGGGCTCGTGCAAGAGTCCCTGCGCAACCTTATGCTCTCCACGGAGGATGCCTCGGGTCAGGGCCAGGAGGACGCGCAGCTCCTAGGGCATATTGTGAATTGGCAGAGCAGTGCCCATCCAAGGAAGAGGTGGAGAGTCGGGTCATGATGCCCGTCCACGTTCTTACAATCTCAGTCAATACCAAATTGTATTCTTCAATGCCGAGTTAGACGTTCGACCACTAAGAGCATTGCAACCAGTTGAGAGTGTTCAAAAGCCATTTCATAAAGCGTTCAGCAGTACACCCTATTAATCTTGACTCTGCGTTATGATTTCTGTAAATCATTTTGAATATTCAAAACTTCAAATTTGTCAAACTTCAAAAGCTTCAAAGTTCAAACAAGGAAAAATCTATTTGGCTCCCCCGGGCAGCACTTGCATAAGCCACTCCCCTTCAGGCACAGGTATGGCCGCAGAGGCGTTGTTTCGATCCTGCTCCCCCAGTCATCTTAGATGCCATCATCATAGCCAAGTTCGTGTACTGGGCCCTGGCCACTCTCACTTGGAAAACTCTTTCAGTATTTCTTCACTATTGAATGTCTTGGCAAATATCTTTGTCTGCTGTTATTTCCAGTCTGCCAGGCCGACCAGTAGCTATGTAGTAGCGACGCATGCACGATGACGAGAGGGAAAATGTCGTATACAAATATCGCGGGACGACTTAACGCCATGATGTCATCGTTCACTTTCGATAGCCCTTTGCCACGCCGCAACCGTCCTCTCATTCTGATAAATAGTCAGCTCATATGTGAAGAAGTCATTGTATTGGAATAGGTACATATACCATGACAGAATTCCTTCCCTCATGTTACGTGCATCGTCAATGCATCGCGCATCAGTTGTATCAAGTCGAATGAATCACGCTAAGTCTACACGTACTTATCTAGGGATCTACCGACTAAGATTAAATCTTGACTGTAGCCTTGAAATATTTGGCAAAACCACGAAGGGACAATTATTGGTGGTACTCCCGGGGTAGCCAAATCGGCATAGCCTTCAAACAAGCCGTAAACATCAAGTTTGAAACTTATCTGTAAATTGTGAAAAAAAGAAAAAAGGCAAATGGACATTCATATTAAGAGGTCCTACCAGGGTTCGAACCTGGGTTGTGGGAAGGATTGACCGTATCAAAATCCCATGTGCTGCCACTACACCATAGGACCGACGTTACATTAATCAATAGAATGATTCTGTGACAATTTTGTGACAAAGAACAAATAAATCCATTAACTACTTTTCCTTATCCTTGCCTCTGACACTTCTTCTCAGGCCCTTTTCAGCAGTCGCAGCAACATCTGCTTCAACATTCTGAATTTTCTTCGGCCTTCCCCTTGGTTTGGGCTTGGGTGCAGTCTCGGAATCTACATTCATCACATCGTCGTTAGCATCTTTCTCCTGAGATCTCGGTTTTGGTTTTTGGTGAGGAACCACAGGGTCGACGTCCATGGCATCAGAGTCTACAGGAGCCGGTTGAGGTGCTGGCGACCCGGTGTCGGACGGTATTGGCGGTTGAGGAGGAACCGCGTTTGGCCATGCACGCGGAGCTGGATTCGGAACGGCCTGGTTTCCCCTCGTACGAGGATTAAGCGCCCATGTAGTCAACACAGGCACAGCTGAAGGAGCCGCCACCGAAACTGGGGCACTAAGCGCATATGTAGGAGGCTGCTTCCAGACGGGATTGCCTTCCTTTTCCTTTGCTTTACTTTTCTTCTGTGGTTCCGGAGGAGGCATCGGCTTGATCTTGTTATACCTCGACCGACAATTCACATCAATCCTCCCCCCGCCCATCTCGCTCGCGATGGACTTCCACCGCCCAAGGGTCCCAAACTGCTCAACAAGCTCCACCAGCCGGTGATCGTCATCCTCCGTCCAGACACTGGCCGCCTTTTGCCGCTCAATCCACCGGTCCCGACACTGGTCGTTCGTCCGCCCTGGCATCGCGTTCGCTGCATCCACCCAGCTCTGCCCGTACCCCGCCACCGCCAAGTACAGCCGCGCGTCTTCTGCCGCCGTCCATGGGCGACGGTCGAGGTGCAGTCGGACGTATCGCGCCTCGCATTGTACCGCGTTGAGCTCACTGGAGACGTATCGGGCAACTGACGAGGGTTAGCAGGCAAGGCGACAGACAAGGCAGGCATACCTAGACTCCAATTTGCCACGCCGTATTTTTGGACGGCCTCCTCAAGTCGATCGTCGATGCGTTTCTTCCACGCGTGCTTAGGTCGTTGCCGGAGCTGAATGCCTTTGCGCATACAGTCAAGAGGAATGCGGTTTGTCTGGATACAGGATTAGGTTGGAACGGGGAGGTGTAAGACTGCTTACGCCAAGGTCCTTTGCGACTTGCACCCAGTTCACCTTGGTCTCTTGAGCGATTCTCTTGAGCTGTTCGATCTCTTCGTCCGTCCACTCGCCATGATTGATCCTAGGGTGCCTGTCTGCCATCCATTTGAACCGTACCTCGTCTGTTGTCCATTTCGCCGTAGATGCGTCGGACACCTAGAAATTGATTAGAATACATAGAATGTCAGGATATAAATCAACTTTTTCAGCAATGATAGCCCAGTTTATGCCTTCTGTGTTCTGAATGATGTCGATATCCGATGTTCCACTAGAAACATCAGACAAATAAGGAGAGAACGTCAGGAATAACACACCGGTCCCTCGTTTCCATTGCTTTCAACCGCGTATTCTCGTTCTTGACTCCCTCATCTAGCGCCACAAGTTCTTTAGCCTTCACTGTCATCGTGTTAGAGAATGAAAGGGTCATCAGAATGAAACGTACTGGGTCGTACAGTTGTCCAAGCCAGATACCGCGTCCTCCGCATTGATTCTTCGTAGAATGGTGATGACTCGAAACCTACATGAGACGCAACATGATATAATGGCAGGATACATACTGGATTGACCAGTTCACTCGACGCGACGGGTCCCGCAGGCTTCTTCGCACCTACGACCTGGACTTGGAGCCCCAGGTCCTCGTCCGCATCTCCCCCGTCGCGCTCCGCCGCTTTCTACGTCCATGAGCAAAAATACCAGACAAAACGCAAAGGGACGCACGAGGAGTTTGTCGAGCTCGTCGAGTTCCGCTGAGAGCGCGTCAGCGTATTGGGTGAGGGCGTATTGGTGGGCTTTGGCGGTGTCGATGGCGGGTGTGAGGAGGTCGTGGGTGGTCATTGATGAGGAAGAAAGCGGCCCGGGAGTTTGTTGTTACAAGTTTGACATCCGGCTATCCAGACTCGGACGTGTCCCCATCCAAAGCAATCATAGATCATCATCTCCTTCACCTTTGTCTGCAACTCGTCAGCGTCATGACACTGTTATCCCACCTCTTCGCAAAAAAATAGTTGATAACACTTTACAACATGTATCAGCATACATACCTCGATAAAGGCCCAGAGTCCATTTTTGTATGTAAATAAGCATGAGATATCCCAACGCCAGCACTGATGGAAACGGGATATCTGGAGCGATACTTGTACGATATCGTCGAGAAGGTAGTTGAAGATCGTGTTCGAATTGGGATCAGACTGGGTATCCCGTTGCAACGATTTGAGTCGCGCAAAATCTGGATAGTCACGAAATGCGCAATTTCATTCTCCTCTTGGGACAGGCCTGTTTTTCTTCATTGAATCAAGTCCCAAATCTCGCTTTGTGGACCCCTGGAGCTCTTGCAACCAGGTTTCAACACTAATTTGTAGATACGGGTTCTAGGGTACTGATTATGTCAGAGATAGTCCCTTGTTCTTTGCTCGCGAGACGGTATTTGCATTTCTCCGAGGAATCTCCGGAACGCGAAACCCGATGCAGTACTGATAATTCGGTTACTAGTATGATTTATCGTGCTAATCGCATCCCAGTCACTGAGTCAACGTAAATTTCGTACCATGGGACCTTTACCATATACCAATACGCATTCCATTAAGAAAACAAACAAAAACCGAAGAGAGGGTGGTATAAATGTGACAATCCGTGACTAGCGCGTTTTTGGTAGTCACTTTCTTCCTGCTCTAAACTCTGGAACCGGTTACCCTCGGCTACCAGTTTTCTGCCAGTACATGCCATTGCTCGATTTTTGTATTCAAGATGTTTTGATTCACGGGTGCTGTGCTGCTATCTGTCTGGCTTTCCACGGTCGCGATCCACGGCTGGCACCAACTTCGTGTGCCGCGCAGAGGTCTAGCAGGTTCTCATTGCGTCTGTCGTATACTCAATTTACTTTACTCTTTTTCTCTACTGTCATCATACTCACATTTAGTTGAAAGTTAAGCTTCATGTCCACGACACGCCACGGAATACCACGGCTCTCCCTCTCTCCCTGGTAATTCAACCGCCACGGCCAGAAGTCATCGCAACGAGGGTGATTAACGTTATTGTGAGGTATCAGCCTATTATTGACTGCGCATGCTTCTCATTGCGTGCTTTGGTGGAACAGCAGAGCTCAAATTTGGTGGCTAGTTCTTTCGTGGTGGTCATGCTACACACCCCATGGTGATTCCAACACGCCTCGATTACGTTCCATGGACTACCATTGGTACGATAAAGCACAGTAAATATCTTCTCGTGACCAAATTCTCGCTCGGAGTCGCTCCTGCAATCTATTTCGCGGTCCGGTGAAACCTCGGATAAATACATCCGCTCAGTTTTCGCAGGTCCCACAGTATATAAAGGGTCGAGGAGCGATGGATTCTTCGTCTCGCCTCTCCAAACATGTCCGACTCATCCTCATCTTCAGCTCTTCATCTCATTCATATCAAGAACGAAATAGCTTCGTCTTATCCTGACTTTGAAGAACGCGTTTCACAAGGATGGGCTGACATCCTCGTTGAACTCAAGAAGGCGACCCAGGAAATTAGCGCTGGGGGCCCCGAAGTATGCTGCTTCTGTTGCTAGCCAACTACCTAGCTCACAGACGCTAGTTCATTCCCCAAGTCCAGTTCTCTGAACTTGATAGCCTTCCAGCTGATAAGATTGGTGAAATCCGACGCAAGGGGTGCCTTGTGATCAAGGACGTTGTCGATGATGCGCAAGCGATTTCTTGGAGGAAATTGCTCGAAGACTTCGTATCCACCAATCCCGACGCTGATGGTACGTTTCCCTGTACAGTTCTTGTATGGTTATTCTCATCCAAATCTCCAGGCTTTCCCGACGGCAATAAACAGTTTTTCGACCTCTAGTATGTATCAGCTAGTCTCTCTCAAATTATTCGACTCTAACTTTCCAACAGCTGGACGAAATCTCAAGTGGAGGCCCGAGCTCATCCCAACATGCTCGCAGCTTCGGCGTGGTTGAACAATTTGTATCATGTCGAGGCGGGACAGAAGTTGGATGGCGTAGATTTATCCTCGCCACTGAGCTATGCTGATCGATTCCGCATCAGACACCCTGGGACCGGTTGGACTGCGCACCCGCCTCACGTCGATGGTACGTCGTCTTGACGCTATCTCATACCAAGTTCTGAACGAAACAAAGGCGGTACTATTGAACGCTGGGAGGATCCAACCCTCAGGTCGTGTTTTGCTGATATACTCAGTGGGCAATGGCGCAAGCACGATCCGTTCCTTCTTGCAGGCCGTGTAGGCGCGCAGACTTCTCTACGCCACAGACCGGAGCAGGTATATTTATCCGTGAAGAAATCTTCTAGATATCCTGGCTTACATGTCCTCACAGTGTTCTGTCTTCCGATCCTTCCAAGGCTGGCTTGCTATGAGGTTTGTACACTACTAGTATTGCGAGCATTTGACACCCTGACAGAACTTTGTTCGTCAGTGAAACGGCACCAACCGAAGGAACTCTCAAAGTTTTTCCAGATGTGTTGCTGTCTAATGCCTATCTGATCCTCCGTCCCTTCTTTCGCTTGTTGGTTGCCCCTGATTCCCCAGATATCTGGAATCCTAAGAGTTGGGCATTCGGTACGCGTTTACTTGTTCCTCAAAGGGTACAATATCGACTGAACTTGCATAGACATCTCAAGCGCCGATTTTCCTGGTCTCATTCCTCGCGATGGAGGGTGGTACGGGCCTCAGCCGACACCAGAGCTGCACCCTAATCTTCTCCTTGAGGAGACTATGACCTCAGTACCTAAAGTTTCCCCCGGTGATACTGTATTCTGGCATGGTGACCTCATTCATTCGGTCGAGAAGGACCACACTGGGAACTGTGACTC